ATGGCCAGGAAAGGGATAATATAATAAAACTGGAATTGGTCCTGGTTTTTTTGAGATTTAAAAATGCTAAAAGACATCAGTCAATCATCTGCTTTCACAAAGATATAATAAGATGCAAAGAAGCACACTTGACTTGCAAAATATGCCGAGAATGTTGCTCAGGACTTAAAAGGGAATTGCACTCTTGACTTTGAGAGATTACAAAAATCCAGTACAAAATCCGGAAGGTAGAATTGTAAATACTATGAAAAAAGGTTGAAGAATGTCTCTAAATACTGAGACTACAAATGCAGATTGCTGGGCAAAGCAACTTGTTTCCAAATGATACATTATTTGTAAGCATACTGATTATATCCAGGAAGTCTTTTGCTTGAGAAAGGTCGAAGTCTTCTATTAATGACTGTCCTAGTTTTATGACAGCGCTCTGACAGCTATTGATTAGGTCCCTCAGTAGATTGAAAATACATTAATCAGCTCAAATCAAAATCACGTAGCCTTTTCAGTTCATGTAAACATTTGAATAATTAACAGTTTGCAACACCTTCAAAAATATATGGGTAGAAAACTCAAGAATGCTACTTCAAGCATTTGTGATTTACAAATGAACAGAATAAAACTAGGCATGACCTACTTAGAATAGATGTCCTTATATAGAAATTAAATGTAACGATTTGCAGAATTTAAACTATTAAAAAGGAAGTGTAAGTTAAAAATATCAGTACCAGCATTATTCTGCATTTTGTCACTATAAAGTTTCTCAGTTACTTCAACAAAATGAATTTCCGGTTGAGGGAAATGGCCACAGATTATCACCCACATATATTCTTGAACTGCAATTTAGGAAACCATAATGTCTGGAACAACTTATCAAGAATTATATGTTGATATTCCAAAGACATCTGGGGAAAGCAGTTGTTTTAATTACATTGACATGGATTATTAAGCAATTTGGGAAATCTGCCATTTTGCTCATGTTTTCCCTATACTGTTCTATGCTGAAAGCATAGCTGACAATTAAATTAGGTTTGGTATTCCCAAGCCACAGTTTCTTAAGTATTTAAAATTAGAGTTATCATAAAAATGGGTACAGAGTAAACCTGAGTGACAAAAAGTTCTGGTGTCTCTGGTTGAAAAGAGCAGGAGCAGCTGCTAATCAGAAAGACTAATACTGGGTTCAAATTGAACAACAATAAAGATATAAAGAAAACATCATAAATTCAATTCATATGACTCCACTACATTTGTATAGAAAAGAGATATCTAAGATAGTATTTTGTTGGAGATTTCATAGATATAATTATTGATTACCACTCACTGTTCACCCCTGTTCTGTCCATGCTCTTGTTTTTAATCTTTAATTGTTGTTAATTTTTAATGTTTTTGTATTTATGCTTTTATACTATTATAAGCTGCCTAGAGTCACTCAGAACAATGAGATGGGCAACATATAAACAAACAAACAATGCTTCTTTAAAACACATGCTTTTACTTACTCCTATGCTTACTGTACTAAGTTTTGGGAGAAAATAGACTATAGATAGTCCACAATTTATGATCACAGTTGAGAGAGGAATTCTAGTGGCTGAGCAATGTGATCGTTAAACAACTCATCAACAACCATTTTTATCATAGTCGTTATCATATGACTGTTAAATGAATCTGGCTGCCCCCATTAACTTTGCTTATTGGAAGCTGGATGGGAGGTTGCAAACTGCAATTATGTTATTGGACAGCACTGCAACTGGTTGTAAACGTAAGTCAATTGTCAAGCCCCCCAAATCACAATCATGTGATCAGACAGGTGGGCGCGATGGTCAAAATTTCAAGGACAGTTTTTAAGTCACTTTTTTCAGTGCCATCGTAATTGAACCATTGTTATATTAATGGTGATAAGTGGAGGATCACCTGTATGTAAATGTGACTATGTGACAAAAGATACAATTTTCAGAGGTACATGGAATTTAACGATTGGACAATGTAAATAGATTCCTAATGCCCTTACTATGGCTGAAAGACTGATACAACAACACTGGAACACTGGAAAGATAAATGCATGCCCCCATTCATTCAGTGGATCAAAGATCTCATTGGCCACCTATGTACAGATTGCCTATAGACACAGACTTTGTATGGATAAGCATAATGAATTATGTCACTCATTTATACAAAATAAGGTTGAAAAAGCATGATAGTTATGTATGTATTAGAAATATATACATTTTTGCATAATATTTGCATTTGATATATAGAATTGAAATTGTTTACTGTTTTAATATTTCATATTTTGTTTCCTTTTTTCTGTTGTAAAAGTATTTGTTGTACATTTTTCTTTGATGATGTATGCCTTCATAAATAGTTCATGTTTTTTCCTGTTATTATTTTAAAAGCAATACAAATATTTTTTTTAAAAAAAGATCTAATTTAAAAGCAATATTGTAAATTCAGTTTACATGAGTTACCTTCTCTCTCAGATTACAAATGAAATCTCCTTTGTCTGCAACAAAAGACACTGTATATATCAAATGAAATCTCACTATTCTACATCCTCCAGAAAGTTTTTCCAATTATGAGATTTGAGAATGAAAAACAAGTCCAACATGCAGTTACATGGGATGGAAAGAGTAAACACCACTTGTACTTTCAAAGGCATTATATAAGGAGTGTGTTATTAACTATTTGGGAAAAGATAAAAAAAGTACATTACTGTAAGGTCCCACTGTGGTTATTTACAATGGAGGCAGTTACACATCCAAACATTTTAGATTTTGATAATATTGTAAGATATAAACTTCTATAACATCAAATCGAAGAGTTAAAGGATAGAAATCAAATACAAATTCAAGGAAAAGAGATAGCATGGTGGCCCTATGAGCAGATACAAACACATTACAAAAAAGACAAAGAACAATTTGGTTTTAACATAACCTACCAAGAATTAGATAAAATTTGTCATGGAGAGGAAAGGAAGTTGATTAGTAAAATATATAAATATCTATTGGATTATAAATTAAAAGAAGAAACAGTCAAGGAGTGTATGATAATTTGGGCAAAAAATGTGGGCAGTATTGAATTAGACAAGTGGGAACATATTTGGGAAATAAATTACAAACTATGTCAGCCTTGTACAAAGAGAATCTCTATGAAATAGTGTATCGTTGGCACTTGCCACCCGCAAGACTGGCTAAGATGTTCCCGAACCTCCCCCCAAACTGTTGGAAGTGTAACTGCATCCAGGGAACATACTTCCATATGTGGTGAACATGTCCATATGCTCAGAGATTTTGGAAAAATATTGGATTCTAAATATAACTAAACAAGAAGTAAAACTTGAACCCAAAACCTTTTTGTTGGGTATGAAAGACTCAAATATAGAAAAAAAATATCAATATTTAATCTTGCACATTATAATGGCAGCCAGAATAAGTTATATTGAAAATTGGAAACTGTCTATTGTCCCTTCAGAGGAGATGGTCATTAAAAAAATTCACGAGCGTGCAGAGATGGACAGCCTAACCAAATTACTAAAAAACAACAAAGATAATGAATGCTACAAAGTTTGGAACTGTTGGTATGAATGGTTAAAGAAAAAGCAACATTTGACAACTGAATAAGTTATGAAACTATGAAGGATGTGCATTTAATCATAAAGTATTCTGTGAAATTAAAATATTAAAAGAACGAGGAAGGTATTGCAACAAGGTAGATCACGTCAATGTTATGGGGTAAAAGAAAAAAATAAAAATAAAATGTAACTGATGTTCAATACCTGCTGCAAAATGTATATATGTATATATATATTTGTTTTCTTAAGTTTTCGCAGGTACTTACATGTATGGTATTCAGCTTTGTTTGGGTATTTTCCCACGTCATTGTAGTTGTGCTTTTAAATATTTGTTTATATGTTTGTTTGTTTCTTTTTAAATGTTTTAAATATATGAAACTTAAATAAACTTTATTTTAAATTTAAAAAAGAAAAAGAAAAACAAGTCCAGAGATAAGGAACCAATGTTTGTTGCATAGATTAAACGTACACAGGAGTGCAACCTTTTTTTTAATGATCCAGTCTGAAGTATGTGCAAACAGACACTCCATCAGACTTCAAAGATACTTAAGAAACAAGTTTAAGCCAAACTTGGACTGCCAAAGGAAATGCAAAACTAGGTGGCTTATTTGCATTTATCTTTAGAGAATATCTCTGAAAAGATACCATGTTCCATACTTATTTTTTTATACAGTCACAACTCCCAATTTATTTGTAAAAGATCATTATAAACACAATGACAAAATCATAGTAATTATCAGATGGTATTAGCTAATAATGAAACTAGAGGAAGTGACAATCCCACTTGTAATTTAAGAATTGCAAAGCAAAAAGAGAAAGTGTCTTCTCTGCAGATAAAATGCAGAAAGAAAGAAAGAAAGAAAGAAAGAAAGAAAGAAAGGAAGGAAGGAAGGAAGGAAGGAAGGAAGGAAGGAAGGAAGGAAG